ATATTTTATACAATTTTTATTTATTTATTTTGTAGATATATCTAATTTAGATACGCTTAAAAACTATAATATTTATATTTTTTTGAAAAAATGTTACCAAATACAAAAATTAAAAAAAAATACAAATTGTAAACTTAGACAATTATTTTTGAAAACTCTAAACCAAACAAAGTGATTTTTATTTTTATTTTTAATAAATATCTAAAAAGGCCCCGAAAAATTAGTTTGCCTTTGGCCCCCGGAAACTCAGGGCCGGCCCTGGACAAATGTACGAGGTCTTGATTTAATTCTTTGTGTAATGGTTGAATCAGACCATCCAAATAAATATGTAAGCTTGTAATGCGGTTCTGTTTGCGGTCGAGTAGTTAGCATCCTATACTTGTTAAGATTCACATTCACCTAAACAGGAGTAATATTATACAAACTTATTTTTTTATAAATTTCATATAGAATGATGTGACGTTTATGGCCCTTTCATTTTATGTCAAAACACCCATTATTATGCCTTGTAATTGCAACTTTGCAAGAATGGCGCTGCCCTAGATGAATTTTGTTTATAATTTTTTTTGACTAATTCAAATGGAGTCTAGAATGGTTCTGGTGTGTTGAGCTTTTATTTATGGCCATGATTAATATGACTGTGAACTTAGATTCCTTAATGTTATTAGCTATTTCTAGTTTCATTTTCTATGTTGAGGGTGGGAAAACTTGACTTATTTCTTTTAACTGCGAGGACTGTGTTCAGGGTGCAAATACTCACACAGTTCTGGTCATGCTATTGCTAATTTCCTGCATTGTGGCTTTGATTGCTTTGTACAGGACGGGCAAAGGAATTTGATGCCCCCTCTCACTTGCTTGAGCGGCCTTCGTTGTTTGGAGCGTTGGTGCAGGAGTACGCCAGCCGATCAGAAATATGAACACACCCCTCTTGGTGTCGAAAAATTCCAAGTGCACATAATTCAATCATAGAACCAGACACAACCCTCTCACATATGGTGAGACTCATCAATTTTGTGGGCCCTAACTCTGTGAAAAAGTTATGTTTGGTTTTGTGATGGATTCCGTGCACATAGAAGAGTAGCTTGGTGGCTTATGCTACCTCATATTTGCCCCCATTGCTAGAGGTGCACGCAAAGGCAGAGATTCTAAGCTAACTCAAATTAAATTTTGTAGTCTCTTTTATTTTTGGCTTTAATTGATAGTCTTTTTTCTTTTTGTTTGGCTTTATTTATTGCCTAATGGAATTTGCAGTTGAATAATAGGCTTGATGTACTAGATGTAGTCTTGGTTTTTTTCCCCCCACAGAATATCAGAATATTTTTTTGGTCTCCAGATGTTGCATTCCTTCTCTAGTTCTTCATTTCTATCATTCTTATATTTACATCTTCTTCTTGAATGAAAATTTTTTATTTTTATTTTTTTTGTAACTGTTTGTTTCCTTCTTTCTTCTCGCAGCGCTGTGACATCACCCACTCTTGTGATTTTCTTCTGCACTGCCAATGTTGGAAGCCAACAACTGTAGGCCAAACTCTGCATAATTTGTTTTTGTGAGTTGAAGATTTTTCAAGCAATGTTGAAAGATCTACATACATATATGTGATACACAAATGGTCTGACGATCAGTCAGGTAGAGTGTGTATATGTATATATATAAAATCAAGCTTTGCAAGCTCAATATCATTTTTAAGTTCTACGGAATTAGGATAAATGTTTCATTTTGATAAAATGACAAAGGCATCTCTCGGATGAAATGAAAATTGGATTCATATAACAAGTTTGTTTTTTTGACAATAACTCCTTAAAAAAGCACAATGCAAAATGGTAAATGGGACAAAATATAACAAAAATGATTGAGAATCTTTTTAAATTACACTAGACATGGAAGCAAAATTAATTGAAAAATCATAGAGATAATAATTTTTTGTTCCCATATTTGCATTGTCTCCTCTATTCACTTCTCTCCCTTTCTCCTTCCTCCCCTTCTCCTCCCTCCCCTATTTGCAAAACCTTACCCTTTCTCAATCTTTGCAAAAACCCACTCCAAACCAATCCCTTCCTTTTTCAATCTATGCAAAAACCCACTCCAAATCAGTCGTGAATTACATTTGCAAAGTGTGAAAGCCTACTTTGATCTTCATTTCTTCTCTCTTTTATTTTTTTTTATTTTTATTTTGTTGTGTTGTTGATGATGATGAAAGGGACCAATAGTGGATAGACGAGGTTGAGGAAAAATAAGGTTGAGAGCAGCGAAAGGAGATTGAGATGGGATGGAGGAGGTTGGAGATAGTAGATGAAGACCGAGAATGCAGTGAATGAGACTGGGAGTGGATAGGGAAGGGCTAGGGTGGGTTAAGGACAGGATGATAATGATTGGGAAAAGTTTAAGAATAATAGGGGGGAAGTGAGTGAAAAGTTGCTATTAGAGTATCTCTAACGCTAAATTTGAGTAAAGATTTGATTAAAAGTTTTATTTGATAACAAATATTTTAATGTTAAATTTTTAATTTTCATCAAACAACCAGTCAATCGGGGCAGTGGTAGTTTGGCCTAATGTAAATTTTCTTCAAAAATTTTTCAATTCGGTCGTCCACCCGATTGCCCAACTGGTCAAGTTCGGTCAGTTGTCCACTCAGTTGATCGGCCAGTCATCCATCCGATCATCCACCAACGATCACTATTGAGATTTGATAAAAGGTTAAACGCTCCCTTAATTTAATGAAATTTTTAGTTTTCCTCTCATTTGATACGGGTTTGATGCCACGATTGGAGCCCAAAAAGTAGCGTGTTTCATCAAATTTAAATTTGATGACAAATCTAATACTAGGGTTGGAGATGGTTTAAGCCTCAATTATTTCTCTTTCGTTTGTTAATCTAAAGCTTACTAGCTGAGTACGATTTTGCCTAAATTTCTATGATTTATATATATATATATATATATATTTTGTATTTGGTGGATTTTTAAAAAGATTTTGTCTCTAATTTTGTACCTTCTAAATATATTTAGATTAAGTGATTTAAAAAGCAAAAATAAAAGTGATTAAAATATTAAAAAATTCACCAACAATTTAAAACTATCGATTGAAAACTCAAAAATTATTTTTGAAGAACTTTAAAAATAAAGGGAAAATTAATCTAAGGTCCCTCTCCCATTTTTAGTAATGAAAGAGATCTACAATATTATTTTATGATGTCTAAGGTCGCTATAGAGAAATTTCATATATCTTACCCCTTCAAACCCTTACCCCCTCTCTCTCTCTCTCCTCGCTGCTCTTTTCTCTCTCTGTCGTCGATCCAGCTCGCCGGCCACTCTCACTTCGTCGAAAACGTCATCCTCTCTTCCGACAGCCAATTCGCTCTTTCCGGCGACAGTGAATATGATGATGACAATGAAGGAAATAACTTGGATTTTGAAGAAGAAGAAGAGAGTGTTTCTTCAGCTACTGCTTCTTATAGTGCCGATAAGCCCTCAACAACAACAGACATATCTGCCGAGGATCTTCTGAAAGGTTTTTCATCGCCTTCTCTTTCTTTCTTTTATTATTTTTTTTAATGTTTTGGTTGAAATTCAGTGGCTTCAAAAAGGTCCAAATCTGGAGCAATATACAATCATTTTGGAAGATTTATTTATGTTGTTAATTAGAAAAGAAAGAAAGAAAGAAGAGTTTCTCCAAAAAATTTTGAGCTTCTGTTATTGATGATAATCTGTTGTATTTTTAGAACTTAGAAGTGTGTCTGAGTGTTGGCTATATAATCTTGGAGAGACTGTTTCATGTATAATAATTTATTTATTTTTTTTAAATCTTTGTTCCCAATAAAAATGAGAGCATATTAGTAATCTTCCTGTACAAAATTTACTTAAAAAAAGAAAAAAGAAAAGAAGCAGTGTCCTTATATTATATGTTAGAGTGGAGAATTTTATTTGAGAAGCAATGGGGTTGCCTTCATAAGAAATCCAGCATCAAATGCTTTACACTCAACATATTCAAAAGAGGTGTTTTGTGGTGCACATAGTGATTGGCCATAGACAATTTAGACGGCCACTGTTGATCCCTAGCAAAAATTGCATGTAAAAAAAACAACCAATAACTTTGTCCTGTTTTGAAATGTACATGTTCCCTCTCATCACCATTATCACCTAAATTTTACATGGACTTTCCTAATCACTGGATTTTGTAATACTCGCATTCATGCATTTTGCGGCTTGCCTTTTGTTGTTGTTGAGTTTGTGGTGCACCAAAGCATGTTTCCTCGTCCTACAAAAGAAATCAACAACAATTCTAGGCTTTGTTCTTCTAGTACATATATTGGGCAAAGATCAATATATTGGAGTATTGTCTAATTCTTGCAGAGGTTGAACAGCTTTTGGGACTAGAAGAAAGAGATATTTTACAACAGAATGCAACTCCTAACCTGGGTAAAATATCAACAGTAAGTGGTCGAAGTAATGAACAACCTATTATTAAATAAATTTATTATTATTATTTTTTTCATCTCCTCCATGAACGTGGCAGTAGCCTCTCCTAGTAATTACCTGCTTCTTGGTTAGTATTATTAACTAGAGAGTAAATTCTTCTTATTTATTTGCTACCTTGGCATTTTTCCTGTGAAAAAGGAATTGAAATGCACATTTTGTTGCTGATTAATAGACTAGTTAATCCTGTGAACTCTCGTGAATCTTTTATCTCAGGCGAAATGGAACCCTTTCCATTCTCTTGGGCTTGCGGGACAGATACATTACATGGACATGTTACTTGGAAATGGGCTTCACATTGACCTTGCTGATAAGGTAAGACTTGTCAATTTCTCAATTCCATCCTTTCACTACTAGAATTGGGGATATATATATATTTTTTACACAGAGCAAGTGATTGGTTACTTTGATCAAGCAGGATGGTATGACTGCTCTTCACACAGCAATTATTGGTAAAAAGGAGGCTGTTGTTAGTCATCTTTTAAGAAAAGGTGCAAATCCTAACATTAGAGATCGGGTGAGGCATGTTTCATTCTTTCGAGCTCCATTTTTGTTTAGTTTCGTTAGCTATGTTTGATCTGTTATGCTCTTAACAGGATGGTGCTTCCCCACTCCATTATGCTGTTCAAGTTGGGGCCATGCAAACTGTGAAGATATTAATTAAGTACAATGTTGATGTGAACGCTTCTGATAATGTGAGTGCAGGGAGATGGGCTGTATTTTTTTTTTTCCCTTGTTCCATCTATTCAATTTTAGTTTTGCTTCAAAGTTTTTTTCACAGGAAGGATGGACTCCGTTACATATTGCCATCCAAACTAGAAATAGAGACATAGCAAAAGTTATACTAGTCAATGGAGCAGACAAGACCAGAAGAAACAAGGTATTTCACTTCTTTTGCCGATTGTTTAAGTCAGAAATTCTCATGCTAGGATGATCTAGGTAAATTTCATCTTCTTTCGTGCCTTGAGGAACTCATGAACTTTTAGATTTTAAGCTCCTTGGCTGACCTTCATTTAGTCTCTCGTATTATGTGTTTTTTTTAAAAACCAAATCATTGTCAAGTACAAGTTTTCATTCTAACAAATTGTACACTTCACTAGAACTCCCACTTTAACCCTTAACATTTTATCATCAAATTATCATTAGTGGTCATTATTGCAATGACTTCTGGTATTGGGACAGTTTTTCCATTTTTTTCATTAAAAAAAAAAAAAAACTGAATGATTGATGTAAATGTCTTTGAATTGTACACTAATTTGTTTGATAGAATATTGCGGAATATTACATTCCTTTTTCCAGCTTTTGGGAAAGTGGATCTGACATTATCACCTCATTATGTTTCAGGATGGAAAAACACCCCTTGATCTAGCTTTATGTTATGGGAAAGACTTCAAATCTTATGATCTTGCCAAGTTACTGAAGCTTGTACCAGCTAACAGATATCTGTGAATGGAAGTGTGCATGCATCCCTCAACTTGGGAATAGAATCCTGTTTGGGTTTGCTTTAATTTTGAATTATGATCCCAAGAGCGATCTGAAACGGTTACCATAATAAATCTCAGAGAATCTGGACAGACCCTGGTCTAGCCAACATCAGGACATCTGAAGAATTTGATCCTCTTTTAAATTGGTTTGATGAATCTTTCATCAATGAAAAATGCCATCAGTGCCATGAAGACTCTGTTAGAGGCATATTCAACAAGAAATAGAGAGCCATGGAAGTCAATTCACATCTTGAAAAGCATGTCTCTGCAATTGCATTTGAGATTGCAACTGAACTATCACAAATATTGGGCCTGCGCCCACACACACACAAACCCCCCCCTCCCAATCATCATATGGAGTTTCATACAGATATTTATGGCTGTCCTGTTTGGTTTTGTTGATAATAGCTTTAGCGCCGGATAAATTTTGAAAGACATACGAATTATTAATTTTAATTTTATTGTTGTGGTAGTCACTATGGGAATTTGAAGACAAGCTGGGTAAGCAGCATGGAAGAATTATGCAATCTCCTGTATAACTGTCAATAAAATGAAGCCAAAAGATACAAGGGAAATTATTGGTGGGTTATAACTAAAAAACAGCTCACCATGAGAGATTGAAGGTGAAATGCTTTTAATAACATCAACAATTGGTACATTTTGTTGCCATGTTCTAAGGTAGTCTCTTTGCAACTGTGTCAATGGTTAACTAGTTTCTTTCCTGAATGTAGTTTGGTTAAAGAGAAATAAAAAAGAAAACAAAATGGCTTAATTACAATTTGTTTCCCAAATTATCATGTTATTTTGGTTTTCAATATTTGATTTGTGTCAATTTAATTCTTAATATATAGAAGTCTTTCAATTTGATGTTTAATATTTAAATGGTGTCAATTTAATTTTTAATAATTTAAATAAAAAATTTATTAAAAAAATGTAAACAGTCCCCTAAAAATTTAAGATTTCATTTTCTCAATACTTTTTGCACATTCTTTCGTAAAAAAAAAAAAAAAAATAAAAAAAAAAAAAAAAAATCATTTCCAAACACAGTAAAGGGGATAAATGGATAATAAAAGAAAAAAAAGGAGATAAGTGGTATTTGAAAGAATAAAAATAGTGTTTAGGTGACGTGTAAAATTTACCAAAAAATGGTAAGAAAATGCAACTACAAAGTTAGGGTAATTATAAAAAAAAATACAAATAAAAATCTATGATCCTTGTAACAAAATTAATTTTTAATTTTTAATTTTATCAATTTAAATCAAAATCTTTTGATTTGTTTTTAATTTAAATCATTTGTCTATTTTCATTAAATAAAATTAACGAAAAAAATAGTGTTTTAGTCATTAAACTCAATGAAGAATGATATTTTAAACTTTTTATCACTTATATTTAAATGACTAAAACACATTTTTTTTTATTGATTTTACTTAATAAAATTGACAAATAATTTAGATTAAAAATAAATTAAAAAATTAAGATTTAAGTTAATAAAAATAAAAATTCAAAATTTATTATAAGAAAAATTGGTCTAAGGTCCTTATCCAACTTTTAATATGAGGAGAAATCCACAATATTATTTTTTGATACCTAAGGGCCCTCAATGTTATTTTAGTTTGTGAAATACCTATTTTACCCTTCTTTATAATATACGGTTTTCAAGTTTGGAAACTGAAGATTACGTTGCTATTTTTGTAGGAGATTACTTGAGGATGAACTTGGCAACGGAGATTTTGATGATGCAGATATTCGTGCAGATTTTATAGAGATTTTGTAGTCGTGTACAAGTTGTTTTTCGTTGCTCGTGTAGAAGTTGAAGTCGTATTGAAGCTCGGAATTCCAGTGGAGTTGAATCAGGTAAGTTTAATAATCAGTGTATGTTTTGATTTTTCATTTGATTTGTATGTAAGGACTCTGATTTCAGATAAGTTTTTGTAGTGTATTTTGAATTAAGTTTTTGTTTTCAGTTTTGATCAATGTGAGAGAAAAGCCAGCTTAGTGTAGTTTTGTTTGATTTTTGAAGTTGATTTTTCATTCTTTGTTATTTGACAATGGAGTTGATTTTGATTTTTGGAGTTGATTTTTCGTTCTCTATTACATGTTTATCAATGATAAGTTTTGTTCTTTGTGTTTGGAGACCAGCTCTGTTTTTCTGCTCTTTTCTAATTTTTGTGCTCTTTTTTTTTTTGCAGTTTTCATTTATTCTGTAGGTTTTTTTTTCTTTTTTTGCACTTTTGTTTGTATTCCAAAGAAAATTATATGTTTGTTATTATTATCTAACGAAAATCATAGATAAAATTGTAAGCTTCTAATCCAATGAAAATCACAGAGAAAATTATAATTTCATAACAGATTTTCTATGTGATTTTTGTCAGTGATTGTGTTTAATAGTTAGCATTAATTTTGTCTGTAATTCTCTCTGGACTCATTAATTTTCTCTGTGATTTTCTATGGACTCATTAATTTTCTTTATGATTTTGTTTTTGTTATCTTAAAGGTAAATATAAGTTGGTAAATTTCTCTGAATTTTGATTTGAGTGAGAAAAGCCAGCTTAGTGTAGTTTTGTTTGATTTTTGAAGTTGATTTTTCATTCTTTGTTATTTGACAATGGAGTTGATTTTGATTTTTGGAGTTGATTTTTCGTTCTCTATTACATGTTTATCAATGATAAGTTTTGTTCTTTGTGTTTGGAGACCAGCTCTGTTTTTCTGCTCTTTTCTAATTTTTGTGCTCTTTTTTTTTTTGCAGTTTTCATTTATTCTGTAGTTTTTTTTTTCTTTTTTTGCACTTTTGTTTGTATTCCAAAGAAAATTATATGTTTGTTATTATTATCCAACGAAAATCATAGATAAAATTGTAAGCTTCTAATCCAATGAAAATCACAGAGAAAATTATAATTTCATAATAGATTTTCTATGTGATTTTTGTCAGTGATTGTGTTTAATAGTTAGCATTAATTTTGTCTGTAATTCTCTCTTGACTCATTAATTTTCTCTGTGATGTTTCTCTGTGATTTTCTATGGACTCATTAATTTTCTTTATGATTTTGTTTTTGTTATCTTAAAGGTAAATATAAGTTGGTAAATTTCTCTGAATTTTGATTTGAGTGCAATATTGCATAATCACACAGAGAAAATTGTAAGCTTGTGGTCTAGTGAAAATCACAGAGAACCTTATAATTTCATAACAGATATTCTGTGTGATTTTTGTCTATGATTGTGTTTAATAGTTAGCATTAAATTTCTCTGTGATTTTCTCTAGATTCATTAATTTTTCTGTGATTTTATTTTTGTTATCTTGAAGGTGAATATAAGTTTGTAAATTTCTTTAAACTTTTATTTGAGTCCAGAGAAAATTAGAATTATTAGAAATTTCTCTGGACTTTTATGTTGTTCTTGTGAAGTGTTTTTATATTGAACAAGTTATTTTTCATGTTTTTTCTTTCAGTTTAGATGGACAGTACAGTGTTGTTGTTGTGCAAATATGTGAATGATACTATTGTCATTAATGTTTCATGGAAAAATTTGAGATGATAGATGGACAGTACTATTGTCATTACTATTGGCATTCTGTGTAAAACATGAGAAAATTTGAAACTTGAGATGATATGTATTTCATATTCTATTGTCGGCTATCCGAATTGTATGGTTTGAAATAATATTGATTTTCTGAATATGTTGAGGGTTGTTTGTGCACATGGTGTTGATATAGTTGATGTTTCAGTTATTAGGTGTAGTACTTCTGATGAAGAAGATGAAGTGGGGTCTAATTGGATAGATGTTGTGCATGGTGAATGTGATAGGCTCGTGGATATTGAAAGGAATTCACTCTCTTAGTTTTGTTCTCACTAAGAAAAAGTATTATTGTCAGCTAGTTGGCAAAATAATATTACGAGTGTTGGACAAAAGTTTGAGGGTGGTGTGGTTGAGTTTTGTACTATTTTATGCAAGTATGCTATTGAGGTTGGTTTTTAGTTTACGTATGTTAAAAATGACAAGCTAAGGGTTACAACAGAATGTGCATATAAGGAATTAAGGGAATGTATGTGGCGTGTACATGCTTCAGTTGAAAAAACAAATAGGTTCTTTTACATAAGAACTTTGAACAATGAACATACGTATGGTGTGGCGGTTCGTACTAGTAAACATGGCAGGATGACTTCCAGCTTAGTTTCTGGACTGATACTTGAAGAGGTAAGTGCAAAACCTTTAACTCGTCCAGTGGATGTTGTCAAAGAAATGAAAGACAAGTATAGAGTCTCGATCAGTTATAACTGTGGTTGGTTGAGGGTTGAAAAAGCAAAACGTAGTACATATAGGGATTCTTGTTTGTCATTCGATCAATTACGGTGGTATTTTGATGAGGCATTGAAAACAATCCAGGTAGTCGTTTTGAAAGATTTTGAAGATAACAAGCGATTCAAAAGAGTGTTTGTGGCTTTTCATGCATGCATTGCTGGTTTCAAATATTGTCGATCATTGTTATTTCTTGATGGAACATTTTTGAAAGAACGATACAAAGGAGTTATGCTTGGTGCGACGGGGAAAGATGGAAATGAAGGTAATTGTAAATATATCTAATTTTCTCTAAGTATGTGAATTTTCTATACATGTGGGAATTAAGTGAATTTTCTATTTTTGTGGTCATGTTTTGTGATTTTTCTCTGACACTTTGAATTTTCTCTAGAGATGGCCAATATGTGAATTTTCTATGGAGGTGGGCACTGTGTAAATTTTCTCTGGATGCGCCACTGTGTGAATTTTCTCTGTATTTGGTCACTTAAGTGAATTTTCTCTGGATGTTGGCACTGTGTGAATTTTCTCTGGAGTTGGTGACTAAGTGAATTTTCTTTGGATGTTTTTTCTGTGTGAATTTTTAGTGAATTTTCTTTAGATGTTACCATTGTGTGAATTTTTTTTGAATTTGGCCATTGTGTGAAGTTTATTTGGATTTTGGCTGTGTCAAATTTCTTTGGTTGTTTATTGTTCTAATTTTTTCTGCATGTGTATATCTAATATGCTTGTTCCTATTTGTTTTGTAGGTTTTTTTCCTATAGCTTTTACCATTGTTGATGCTGAGAATAAAGACAATTGGTGTTGGTTCCTTGAACATTTATGTGAAGTATTGGGATCGGAGAGAGTGATAGGTTTTATATTAGATCGACATTGTGGTATTGTGGAAGAAATTGCTAGGTTTTTTCCTAATTGATATCATGGATTTTGTTTTGAACATCTAAAGAGAAATTTGAGAGATAGGCTATCATGTGGAAACATAAATTTGGTTAGGGAGACGATTGTGTCCAAGTTTTCAGAATGTGAATATGTGCCGACAAAGGCATCATTTCATTTCAAGTTAAATGAATTAAAAAGTGAGGGAGAAGACATTGCGAGTGTTTTCTTGAGAAGTTTACCATATGAAAATTGGAGTGATGCATATTTTGAAGGGAAACATTATGGTGAAATGTATTCAAATGTTACTGAGTCATTCAATTCATGGATTCGAGAAGCTCGGCACTTGCCAATAACAAATTTGGTGGATATAATACGGTTGCAAATCATGAATATGAGCTCTGATAGGAGGTTGCTTTCTAGTAAATGGAATAAAGTTCTTTGTCCTCGTATGGATTGCGTGTTGGAGAAGGCTTTCATGGATGAGAGGAC